ATGGCTTTTCTGTATGCCAACAATGAGAAAAGTGTGGCTGAAATTAGGAAAGCAACTCCATTTGTAATAGCCCCACAAAAAATAAAATACCTAGGAATTAACTTAACTAAAGAAGTGAAGGACCTATATGATGAAAACTTTAAAATCTTGAAAAAGGAAATCAACACAGAACTTAAAAAATGGCAAAACCTCTCATGCTCCTGGATTGGAAAGATTAACATCGTGAAAATGGCAATACTTCCCAAGGCTATCTACAAATTCAACGCAATACCTATCCAAATCCAACCTCATTCTTCAAGGAAATAGAAGAGGCAATCCAAAAATTCATATGGAACAAATGGATCAAAGACCTTGAACTCAAAGCAGACACTCTGAAAACATTACAGGATGGAATAGGAGAAACCCTAGGTCTCCTTGGCTCAGGCCGAAATTTTCTGAATAGAGACCCGGAAACACAACAAATCAAAGAAAGGTTGGACAAATGGGATTGCATAAGGTTGCAGAGCTTCTGCAGGGCAAATGACATAGCTAGCAAGATCAATAGAAAGCCCACAGATTGGGAGAAGATCTTTACTAGCCATACAACGGACAAGGGTCTCATATCTAAAATATACTTGGAACTCAAAAAATTAAACCCCCCAACAACAAATCCTCAAAGAAACAACTGCCCAATAAATAAGTGGGTGAAAGACTTAAAGAGAAACTTCTCTGAAGAAGAAAGAAGGATGGCCAATAGACACATGAAGAAATGTTCAACATCCCTAGCCATAAAAGAAATGCAAATCAAAACAACATTGAGATATCACCTCACTCCAGTTAGAATGGCAAAAATCAAGAACTCTAACAACAACAGATGCTGGAGGGGATGTGGACAGAAAGGAATCTTACTTCATTGTTGGTGGGAATGTAAACTTGTTCAACCACTTTGGAAAGCAGTATGGAGGTTCCTCAAAAGACTTCACATAGAGCTCCCCTATGACCCAGCAATCCCACTTTTGGGCATTTACCCTAATGTTTACAAACAAGACCACACTAAAGCTACCAGCACAACTATGTTTATTGCAGCATTATTTACCATAGCTAAGATATGGAACCAAGCCAGATGCCCCTCAGTAGATGAATGGATCAAGAAAATGTGGTATATATACACAATGGAATTCTATGCCTCCATCAGAGAGAATGACATTGCCCCATTTGTTAGGAAATGGAAAAACTTGGAAAAAATTATATTAAGTGAAGTAAGCCAGGCCCAAAGAAACATAGGTCCCATGGTTTCCCTTATTTGTAATATCTAGTATATGTATGAGTCAAGCGGAAAAGGTCAGATAATGTGATGTCAGGAAAATGAACCCTTAGATGTGTATTTTAATGTTTTTTTCTTTCATGCATGTGTTTCTAACACATTTATAAGATTATCTCTTTGTTGCTTTGTATGTCTCTCCCCCACAGTATAACCCCTGCTTTCACTATATTTGATGTCAGTATAACTTTGTGGAGGAGATGGGGAAAAACCAGTTGTTTAAGGATACAGGTGGACCTGTTGCAACAATGAGAAGTACAAGTTGTCATGTCCAAAACGAGCTTTACAACGTTGGTGCGGGGGGGGGGGGGGGGGGGGGGGGGGGGGGGGGGGGGGGGGGGGGGGGGGGGGAGAAGGATTGGGATTGGGGGGGAGGGGGGAGGCTGGGAAGGGATGTGAAGGGTAAACAAAGGAGGAGGCTGCAATGCTTGGTAAGAAATGTACGCATTATCCTGCCCATGTAACTGTAACTCCTCTGTACAGTATGTTCACAAATAAAATTAAATTAAATTAAAAAAAAAAAAAAAAAGAAAATACATGAGAGGCTAGGAAGATGGCTCAGTGGTAAGGTAAGAGTGCTTGCCTTGCATGCATGAAGCCCTGGGTTTAATTCCTCAGTACAATATAAGCAGAAAGAGCCAGAAGTGGTGCGGTGGCTCAAGTGGTAAAGCACTAGCCTTGAGGGACAGCGCCCAGGCCTAGAGTTCAAGCCCCACGACTGACCAAAAAATAAAAAAAAGAAAAAAGAAAGAAAGAAAAGACACAAACTCTTGAACTGCTTCTACCCCGTTTGATTGCAGGAAGAGCCCATGAATGTCAAAAAGCAAAGAGAAACAAAAAGCAAACATCGTGTGCTTCATTTCATCTATCTCTCTTTATGTCTTTTTCTATCTCTGTCTCTGTCTCCTTTTTCTTCTTCACCTGCTCTTATATTTATGTTACTGGATTGCTTGGCTGTCAAGGAAAGTCTGAAATATACTACAAGTATCAGTAAAATTATTTTGCTGAAATCATCTGTCTAGGTTGTATTTGCTATCTTCTCTCTCCCCAGGACTCACATAAACAAGAAAGGGAACTCATTCAGATTTATCTAAGTGCTGGCTTCTGGTTACCATGATTGTTCTTCTCTTCTAAACACTCAGCTTTGTAAATGGAACAATTAGTATGTGTTGAAGTCATCCCTATGACTAATTTCTACTCTCCAGAAGCCAATATTTGTACTCTTAAATGCAATCATTTAAAAATTTTAATTTTAAATAGGCAAAGGTAAGTCAAACTGATAACTTTGTTTTTACCATGCACAAATACATAGGAAAATTCTCACATACTTTTATTTTATCCACTTTGAAATATTCTTATTTTCATTCCTTATTCCCAGTCTCTAATTGACACTAAATTGAGAGAGAAGGCTCCAGACAAGGTAACAGAGAATACTTGTAACAAAATCCAGTAGGCTGATAAGTTAACCTCCACTAATGCAAATAAATTCTGAGATCCTTACTGTAATTACTTCTTTTGTGTAATAAACAGTGCCTGGCCTAAAGTGTAAGAGTTACATTAAAATTAGCAATTTTGTAATGAGCCATGTAGTTGTCTTATGTTTTCAGTACCAATATCATGTTTTATGTTTGCAGGGCAATCATTTATTTATTTCTTCATTATAAGAACATACGTTGCATGTTCATTATGTTCCTGACAGATGTGCACATGAGTAATTGCAGTATCGTGGGTAAAGGGAAGAGAAGCAGTTTCAACCAGGACCAATGGGAGTACAAAGCAGAATGTGATCAATTCTGCTTGGATGAGTCAGGGAATGCTTAACTGAGGAGAACACACATGAGATTTGGTCTTGCAGGATGAAAGTCTTAGAGTCTATCAGGGGAATAATAAGGAAGACCATTACAGGCAGAATGGAAGTTTGTGCAAGGTGTCAAATAATGAGTCTTGTTCAGGGAACTGTAAATATTTCTACATACTTGAAAAGTCTCAGAAGCCTCAGACTATGGTGCCAAAAAGTTGGATTTGAATTTAGCTTTGATGTTCACACCAAGTATAATTAGGTCAGGTTTATGTAAACTTTTAGCATTTTTATTTTACTTATTTGGAAAATAAACCTATCAATATATTCATCAAAGCCTTGTTTTCTTTTTTTAAGGATTTAATTAAAAATGGTCTTCTGAAGAGACTTACACTATTCTTGGCACCAGAAAAATACCCTGCCACTGCAAGTACTGTATCCATTAATGCTATCAACATATTTGTTTCTGTTTATATGAGGAAAATAGGACAGAAAGCTGGACAGGTAATCAGGGATAAAGTCACAGGGTATGAAAGACTTTCTGCTAAGAAATCTGATGAGCATGAGTTTTTAAAACCCAATGTCACTGACAATAGCATTTTCAAAACAGAATGAAATCCATTTTTTAACAGAATCATCTTTTATCTCTACAATTAGAGCTTCTAATTACATATCTGTAGTAATTTTCAATATTTGTATAAATCCTTTCCTTGTCATACATTCCATTTCCTGTCCTATCTAGCCTATAATTTCAAGTGTTTTCCCCTAAGATGTAAAAATCAATTTTCATGTGTATCTTCACTTGTAGTCATTTCTGTGATGAGAAATTACTTTTAACTTGACATTTTTATCCAAAATCTTTTATTCAGTCTCCAGTTTTTATTAACTCACTTACTGAAATAATAAGCAGTTAAGAATAGGACGAATACTCTTTCATCTATATGCCTTAATGAAACTACAAAGCTGACATAACGGTATTAATTATAACATGAGTAAATCTTTCATTGCATTATTGAAAATATTATTTTTTTTAATTTTATTATAATTTGGAATGTGGGCATATTTAGTTCAGATATCCTAGTTTTTGAACAAAAAAGGAACTGTGAATGAGAACTAACAAGAGCATATTCATACATGAAAAGGAATTTGAGTCTGAATAGCATCCTGCAAAAGTGTTTTTGCTATATTTCAAAATAGTCATTTCCATAATTCTCATCCATGATATATTTGCATTGCCAAATCCCTCCTACTGAACTAGCAAGAACTGAAAAATTCATCAGACATATAGATGTTAAGAGAAAAATATACAATCGAAAAAAAGTTACAATTTGCAAGAGAAATAGGCTAGAAAAACTACGTTTAAAGTTGTCTCATGGAAAAACCATCAAAACATTTTTGGAAGAATAACGTTTTCTTAGGGTTGATTAAAAGGAAAATGTACCAGGTCCTGGTGTCTTACACCTCTAATTCTAGCTACTCAGCAGGCTGAGATATGAGGATCTCAGTTCAAAACCAGCTTAGAGCCGGGTGCTGGTGGCTCACGCCTGTAATCCTAGCTACTCAGGAGGCTGAGATCTGAGGATCGCGGTTCAAAGCCAGCCCGGGCAGGAGAGACCGTGAGACTCCTATCTCCAATAAACCACCAGAAAACCGGAAGTGGCGCTGTAGCTCAAGTGGTAGAGCGCTCGCCTTGAGCTGAAGAGCTGAGGGACAGCGCCCAGGCCCAGAGTTCAAGCCCCACGACTGACCAAAAAAAAAAAAAAAAAAAAAACCAGCTTAGACAGGAAAGTTTATGAGCTGCTTAGGTCCAATTAATTACCAAAACATAAAAAATAAAATAAAAGCTAAAATTGGAGCTGTGGCTCAAATGGTAGAACTTTAGCCTTATTTAACATACCCCCCCACTTCCCTTTCAGTTTGCCAATGGGACTTAGGTCTTCATTCAAGCGAGGCAAAGGAAATGTCTTTTAAAAGTTCATATACAAACTGGATGTTTCTCTTGTAACCTGTTAGAGGACACAATATTGATTTATTGGCAAGTTGTACATGATTTTGGAATTACTTGAAGTTTTTGTAACATAAAAGATTTCATGTCATTAATTTTATTAGGATCCTGTTTCTGGCTAAATTTCTAATGTGTCAAACTACAGTAGTGATGTTCAGTTCAAAGCCTCTTCTGGGGAATAATTGATTAAGTGACCACACCATTGTCTTAAGGATTTATTCCAGAAAGAACAGGCTTAATAACTTATTAAATATAGAGTTCTTAAAACCAGAAGAATAAAAAGAACTCAGGGACAGTGCCCAGTCTCTGAGTTCAGGCCCTAGGATTGATACAAAAAAGAGAGAGAAAGAGAGCGAAATGAACATTCAGAGTAAAGAATGTATAAAGTAGGAACCCTTTAATATGTTAAGATAAAATTCACTCAATGTGTTCCATTCAATGGTTTTAATATACTAATTCGTACAACCGCTATTGAACCAAAGTTTGAACATGTTATCACTTGCATGTTAGTGTTCCAGCAGGACAGCCAGCATTGAGGAAAACATAACCAGAGAAAGTTCATTAGGCACACAGTTGTGGAGATTTCAGTCCATGGTCAGTTGGCCATGTTGCTTTGAGGCCTGCAGAGAGGCAGCACATCCAGTTAGAAATGTGTGGCAGAGTAATAACACTTCTATCGTAAGTCAGGGAACCAAAAATGAGAGACAATCATCTTTGTAGGTTAGCCCCTAGTAACCTAAGCCCTTCCTACCAGTCTCTTAAAGGTTCCAGCAAGTCCCACCAGTGTTACATTGAGTGTTCAAATTTTAACACGTAGAATGTTGGCAAATGTTTAAGATCCAATTGACAGCAGTTCCTAAAGAAACATTGAAGCCATGGAAGTCACCTCCCAAAACTCCCCATCCCTAGGCAACTCTGTCTTCTTTCTCTCTACAAAGTTGTCTAATCTGGATATTTCATACAAGAAGAATCACACACCATATAGTATTATACAGTTGGTTTCTTTCATTTAGTGTAATGTTTTCAGGGTTCATCCATTTTATATCTTGTATCAGTAATTCATTCCTTTTATTGCTGAATAGCAATTTTGTATGGAAATAAAACAGCTTGTTATTATACTCATCTGTGGATCAATCTTTGCACTATTTCTACAATTTCACTATTATAAAAATGCTATTGTGTGGATATTTGTATTTATTTAGCCTTCTTTATACCTGAGTATGTGATATGATTAACTCTTTCCTTCTTTCTTTTTTCTCTCTTTCTTTTTTTGCTTTCTTTCTTTCTGCCTTCATTCCTACTTTCCTTCCTTCTCTTTTTCCTTCCTTACTCTTCCTTCCTTCCTTCCTCTCCTTCTTTCTTCTTTCATTCTTTCTTCCTTCTTTCCTTTCTTCCTTCCTTCCTTCCTTCTTTCCTTTCTTCCTTCCTCCTTTCTTTCTTTCTTTCTTTCTCTCTCTTTCTTTCTTTCTTTCTTTCTTTCTTTCTTTCTTTCTTTCTTTCTTTCTTTCTTTCTTTCTTTCTTTCTCGGAGACTGGGACTTCAACTCTGTACCTGATGCTTTCTTTCATTTGCTAGCACTCTACTTACTGAGCCACACTTCCAACCCTATATTTTCTAAAGACATTATACTGTTTTGCATGTATACAGCAATATATGAGAACTCCAGTTTTTTATCTACTTATGATCTATTGTTTTGATGAAAGCTTTCCTTAGTGGATATAAAATGGTACCACCATATGATTTTTATTTTTGTATTCACCATATTCTCTTATAATCCACTTGTCTGTAAGGAATATAGTGATATCTAATACTTCATTCTTGTTTTTTGTCATTTGAGTCTTTTTTCATGTTTCCATTTAGGCAGTCTGTCAATATTTGGTTTTGTGAAGTCGTGTTTAATTTTATTGATGGTCTCTATCACTTTTCTACTTTTCAACTTATTTCTCCTTTAATCTTTATTAGTTATTTCCTTCTTGCATTGGTTTTAGTTTAGTATTCCTTTTTCATAATTTCTTAATGTGAAAAGTTAGGTTATTAATCAAGTGTCATTTTAGACATAAATATTTACAACCACATTTTCTCTTTGATCACTGCTTTGTAGCATCTCATAAATTTTGGCATGCTGTGGTTCTTTTTCCTTTTATGTCAAGGTGTTTTCTACTTTCCCCAGTGGTTTCTTATATGACACAGATATGTTCATCAAGGAATATATTGCTTGACTTTTATGTATTTCTGAGTCCCAAATTTCACCCTGTTAAAGTTTCTATTAACATTATAATAGGAGAAAACACTTTGTGTGACATTTGTCCTTTTAAACTGGATGAGTACTGTTTTATGGCAGAGTTGTTAATAGCCAGTCAAAAGCTTACAAAAATAAATATCAAGCTTTAAAGAAACCTCCTACATCACAATTTAAAGCAATGAATGTAGTGATACTATTTGTAGCATTATAAAGTAATTTGGTAACTTTTTAATGCATTAAAGCTTCTATAAATAAACAATGATTGAAATGTATAAATATTTGCCATTAATAAATCTTAAGTTCATATTATTTGTTTTTACATTGAAGATTTCTCCCTCTTGTCTCAGAGCTATTACCATATTTCTAGAAGCAATCAGTACACATACATTATTTTTAAAAGAATACCAACTTGCCTTCTACATAGTATCAAACTTTTATTTTTTTAAAATTTGTTATGCCATTACCAGGGTTTGAACTAAGGGCCTTACACTCTTGCTTGGTTTTTTCATTCAAGGCTGGTGTCTCCAGCCTTGAGCCATACCTCCCCTTTGAGCTTCTTGCTAGGTAACTGAAGATAACATTTCATGGACATTTCTACCTAGGTGGGCTTTAACCCATAATCCTCAGATATCAACCTCTTGAATAGCTAGAATCATGAGTTCACAGCACTCAGCTTATAAAAGCTCCTTAAATACTACTCAATAAGAAGGGTTTTATTTTTATTTCTTTAGAAAAGTATAACTATACTGTAATCCACTTAGGAATATCTACTATAGCTCACATTTGTTCAGAAAAATAAGGAAGAAAAACAAAAGAGAGAGAACTCTCTGGTTTGATACTTCCCTCCAGGAACTAAGAATCTAGAGCTCTGGTCAAATAAAGCCATTAAAAGCAAAGTATAATATTGTTGTAAACTTTGCTTAGAGAAAAAGAAGAAAAACAAGATGACATGAAGAGGAGTTTAGGAAGACAGAAAATGGACCTATAAAAGAACCACCTAAAAACACCAGCAATTTCACCTCACTAACCAACATTAACAGAGGAGACAGACTCCATATTGGAAGATATTAAAATCTTTGATTAATAAAGCATTTATACTGTGTCATGTTTACAGTTTACATATATTTCTTCGCTCCTGCATTTCCAATTTATTGATTGATTTTTCACATACTGTCCTTTTTTGTTGTTTTAGCTTTTTTGGTGCTGCTCCTTAGGCTTGAACTCAGGGCCTGCCGCTGTCCCTGAGCTTCTTTTGAGCAAGACTACCTCTATCACTTAAGCCACAGCCCTACTTCTGACAAAGTCAGATGGACTTTCCTGTTCTGGCTGACTTTTAACTATGATCTTTCAGCCTAAACCTCCTGTGTACTAGGATTAGACGTGTGAGCCATTGGCACCCAGCTCACATATTGTCCTTTTGTTGTGAATGTACTTCATGCTTTTTTCATTTATCGCCATTTCTTTTCTTTTTCAAAGTTCTCTTAATTAGCTTTATAATAAATTATTAGGCATAATCCATTTGACCTCTCAATTTCATTTGTATATTCTTCAGTGGTTTCTTCAAATTAATATACCTAACTCAGCAATTTTTATACATCACAAATGATCAAACTTTTCCTAGAAAAGCAAATATTTTAAAATGTATTAAATTATTTAAGAAAATAAATAGTGGAAACATGCATCATACTTACAAATACTTTTCTACTCTAAACACAATGAAACAGATGGTGCACATGTATCATGTCAAGCTCTAGGTATTACAACCATAGTTTCAAACAAGTCAGTACACATTCAAACGCACATACCCACAAGTGTTATGAGATAGTTTTGTCCACATTGCTAAATCAGGGATGGTATTTATCTAATAAGTATCTTTCATGATTCTTGATTGTGGTGCTAATGTAAATATATAATCATCTAAACTTTAAAAAAACAGGATGTTATGCTTTGAAGGAAGCGGAAATATTTATATAACCTTAAGACAAATACAAGGGATAACAAATGATTTTGATGTAAGTATAACAGGGTAAGTTTATGATATAATGCAAACACAAATAAACAGTTAAAAATGAATTACTATCTAGGCACCAGTGACTCACACCGACTCACTACTCAGGAGGCTGAGATCTAAAGATTGCAGTTTGAAGCCAGTCTAGGTAAGAAAGTCCATGAGACATTCATTTCCAATAAACTACCAAAAAACAAAAACAAAACAAAACAGAAGTAGATCTTTGGCTCAAGTGATATCGTCCTGGCAAAAGAAACTCAGGGACAGCACCCAGGCCCTGAGTTCAAGTCCCAGGATCACAAAGAAAAGACTACCTCTTTTAGGAGAGCAACTCAATATACAATTGTAATTTCTCTAAAGATATTTCTAGAGAGGAGATAACAGCCACTCCAAATAAATGCAAAGGTCTTTGCTGCTAGTTACATAAAGACTTGGTCTTACGCAGGAATGTAGATTCTCCTCTGTCCCTTCATCCTAACAAATTCTTGAAGGAGGAAGGAGAGGAAGACGACTATGGTGAATCCATAGAATATTTCTTAACTTTAATTGTTTATTGAAATTATGAGATGCCTGGTATCTACCCCATCCCAAAATTTTGATAGACTGGCCTGGAGCTAGCTGGCAGACTGGGAATTTTAAAACTTCTCTTGCTGATAACCCACTGTTCTCTACAAAAGTATACATATGCAGCAGCAGCAGGTACACATAATAGATGAATATACAGATGTAGACATAAGCTTTTACTTTACATACTGCCGTAGTTTTGATC